TGTATCACCAGGTCTTTTATCCTTCTGGTCGAGTCATAATTGGTGCTGACATTTGAAAAAGCACAGATTTGCAGTGATTATAAGTCGCCGCTGGAGGTTTGGCATTTCTCCCAAACCTTTCACCGCCGCAGGTCGATCAAAAAAAAAAAAAAAAGCTAAAGTTAAATCTGAGAATCAATCTCAGACCGATGAAACCCACTGTGGGTTTTTGTTTATGTGAAATAATCACTGATGAAGCCGTCAGCTCTGTTTTTACACATTCAATCAGACACATCACACACAGTGCAACCACAGCACTCTGTTATTGGGGCCCATTCACAGGCCGACGGCTGCAGGGCGGTGGAGTTTGATGATTGAAATACCTTGCTCAAGGGCACGTCAGCTGCACACAAGCTGGAAGAAAACACTTTCAGTGTTCACAGTCTCAGTTTTCAGCTTCAGTCCAACAATGACAGAAAGATGCAGGTTTGCTTGTATTTATAAGTCCCTGTTGAGTAAAGGGACAGTCCACAGTTCTTCCACTTCCTCATTGTCTTAAGCCCTTAATCACAGACATCTCAGAGATGTGTTGGCTGAATCATCTTTCCTCTAAAACTCTCATTTGCCAAGGCATCGAAGTTCATCTCACTTTCCGCCTCCATCCTTTCCTGCATCAAAGTCCGTAGAGAATTTACTGATTTTTACATCACCGCACGCAGGAGTTGTTAATCTACTTCTACTGCCTACAGTTAAGTTAATATGAGTTGTTTCATGCCTCAGGGCCTTAACTGCTTCCGTCCGATTCACCTAAGTGCCATAAACTTTCCAAATATTGCAGCAGTGAAGCAACAGCTCCTTTGTCGCTTCAAGCTAGAAACGCTGATTTTCTCTATGGACTTTGGAATGGGAGAGTGAGCAGTTTTCAAACTTCATTTGCAGCGTTCTCCGAGTGAAAACTGTATTTAAAACCTGCGTATTGGAGCAAGAGAAAAAATGGAATTAAATAGAAAAAGAAATCCTGCTTTATTGTATTAGAGAGAAAACATAGATGAGATGAAAAGACTAAGGCGTGGCAGTTTATGACTGCATCGGTGAGGGGCCGTCATCTGAGTCATGCTTAATGTAGTTCATATGCTTGACCTCCTCTTTGACCTCAGAGACCCCGCTGTACAATCCAGTTTCATCCTGATCCAAATGGGAAATTTTAGTAACTGTATCCGTCATGAGATTCTTTGTCTCAAGAAAACACATTGTTCAAACGCCCCGTTTTTCACTGGTTCTCGCCCCGAAATGTGCCCCCCCCCCCCCCCCCCCCCGTCATCCTGCGTGTCTAAACTGTGTTGTGTTTTTATATGAGGACAAAAATGTGGCCTCACGAGATCTTCAACGATCATGAGGTTGAAGAGGAATTCAGTGATGATTGTCAGGTCCATTCTCGTACTCGTCACATTAGCTGCACACGTTATTTTGATGTCTCTGCCTTGTGTCTTCTGTTTTTTTTTTCATCCTGGAGGCAACACCTCTGCATAATTATCTCCATTTGCAATGTTGTTGCTCAGTAATAATGTGATGACACTGGGCATCATAGTATCAGGCCCGACCCTGCTCTGCTTCAGTGTCGTCAGCTAGAGAGAGAGAGGGGGAGAGAGAGAGAGAGAGAGAGAGAGAGAGAGGGAGAGAGAGCCATGGCTCAGCTGTTGATAAGCTGTGTGTGTCAAGCAGTTTCTCACATCCCGGGGCGCAGGAGCAGAGCAGGAGAAGGAAGAGAAAAACTGAAATGCTTCATCTCTTCCCGTCTCCACTGAGGGTTTTATTAGGATATGGGGGTTAGTCCATTTTTTTCTTCTTTTTTACACTTGCCTGAAGGAAGCAGCCTTGGCCTGCAAATACTCCCACTCCATCTCCCCACCATATGTACAAGTGTGTGTTAGCGGGAGGCGGTCGGCGAGTGTGGGTGTGAAAACACGTCTACATACGAGTGACTCCACAGGCGTGTATGCCATATATAAGACTCGGCCTCTTCCCTTCTGCCCGCCTCTGTCCATCCTGTCCTCCAGCCTCCCTGTGATAAACCCTGTTTTTAAAGGCCCATTAGAGAAGTTGAAGCACTGTGCCAACATTTATTTATGCATAACCTCCAAAACTAATGCGTTTGCCCTTTTGTGTTCTGACGAAAAGCATTTTTCCCCCTGGGGGCCTGTGAAATGGCAGCAGGAAAGAGAGGAAAAAGCCAAAGTACACTTCGATTTTGTTTCTCTGTCTCTCTTTGTCCTACGTTATGCTATTTTACTCGTATTGATCCAAACCCTGTAGTGCTGTGATGGGGTGCTTCCCTTTCTGGACGTATGATTAGGCACGGCATTGTGAGTGAAGTGTTTCCTTTTGTTTTGTTTTTTTCTGCATTTCTTCACGGTTTTCTGTGAGGTTAGAGTGTGAGGAGTGGAGGTGCTGCAGATGTGGAGGAGCTCAGAGTCTCGGCCAAGTTTGGAAAATCTGTGTGACAGCTGGGATTAGGGAGACAGCGGCAGAAAAATGCCACATTTCTGTAGAGCAGCGTAGCAACTGTGTCTTTACACGAGAGTTCTCCAACGTCCTGAAGTGCAGTGAAACTGAAATGTGTTGTTGGTATGGGACTTAAATCCTGTTTGTTGATTTAGAAATGTCGTGCTGTGAAATAGACCTAAACTTCTCCTCAGCAGGAGACACATTTTCACTGGGGGCAGTATGAACTTTAGGACTATGTAGTTTTGTTTTTGTATTCCTGCAGAATGAGGTCAGGCATTGTCCTGTTGGTCCCAGTTTCAGAGAACAAAGTTGTCTTTGTAGAAAAATGAAGAACCCCCCCACATTCAACCTGAAATATTAATTCTAAGTTTTTCTAAAGAAACATTTTTACTCCTTTTGTGTCTAGTTGCCGGCATTTTTGCAGCAATCTTTTTTTCACCCTGACGTAAAAAAATACAAACTCTTTTTTTTGGCAGATTCATAAACTGTTTCTATAAACTTGAAACTCTGTTTTGCCAAACTTTTAGTATTTGTTGTGCTGTAGCATTTTAGCTTTTTTTTTTAGACTAATCCTTACTGTCTAAATGTCATCGTCTTCCCAAACCTTTCCCCTTTCCTTTTTATATTTGGCCGACCTTTTCCATCTTGATAATTGTAATTTTTATTTTATATTTTATTTTATCTATCTTTCAGTAGTTAGAGATGTTTGTCTAAAGCAGCTATTCAGACAAAATCTGAACTGTGACTTTAAACCCTGTAAGTGTGGGTCTGATCTAATGAACCTTCATGTCTGCCCCTGGGACACTTTAGTGCCTTATAAAGCCTAAGGAAAGTGCCTGGTCAGCACAGGGCAGGCTCTAATGTCCTCCTCTCAGGTAGTGATGTTTCCTCGACCTGTCAGTGCTGTGGAGCCACAACACGGACCAACCGCAGCGGAGCTGCAGCAATCAAACCCTGGGCCTTCGGAGCCGGAGCTCCGTGTCTGAGGTGGCACTTCAATTCTTGGGGTTTCATTTTAGGGGCAGTCCGGCCGCGTGCCAAATAGCTCTTACCTCCGGGCTGCTCCAGCCGATTGATGTGAAGTAAATGTAATAAAGGCTAGATGAAATATCAAGCCCATATCTCTAATGCAATCTGCCATCGCCAGGTCCCAGGATGCAGGCGAGTGATATGCCAGCAGCAAGACGGAGACAGAGAGACAGAGAGACACCACTCTCTCTCTCTCTCTCTCTCTCTCTCTCTCTCCATGCTTTTTCAACACCTCTCCTTCTTCTCTGCTTCTGTTCCCTCTTCCTTCTTCCTTTCCTTGATATATCTCTTTTGTTCCTCCCTCCTCACTCTGCCACAGCCGCAGGAGAGAGGGGTTTATTTTTTACGGACTAAGATTAAACATTGAACACACACACGCACGCACACACAGATAGAAAAAGAGAGAGAGAGAGAGAGAGAGAGAGAGAGAGAGAGAGAGTAGTTTCTACCCAGGATCAATTTCTTACTTTGTTGGTTGTGTTTTTACTCACTTTTATTTGTCTGTTTGTCATCGACTGCAGCCTGAGGTGATTTGGAGATCTGATGATATTTGACTGAAACTTTACAGAACATGTGCACACACACACACACACACACATTCACGCACACACAGTTAAAAGTGTATGACCAATTTGACTCCAATTTAAATTATTGACTTTAAACTGTTTAAAAATACACACCTTCCTCACATACACATCTTCATCCACACATGCATTGACAGATAAATAAATCAGAGATCTGAATCTGAATCTGAATCTGAATCTGAATCTGAATCTGAATCTCAACACTGGAGAAAGTGCACTATTTCTGTGGTAAATCACAAAAAAACAACATTAATAATAACCCTGTTATTAACCTGCTTAAAAACATAACAGAAATCCACAGATTAAATTCTGTACCATTGGTTCCTGCTATTAATGACCAAATACATCCTTTATATGTGCAGTTATCACTAGGACTGTATGTTGGCATATTACATACATATATTGATGAGTTTCTGCCTTTAATCACAGTTGGATGCATATTTTCAACACACCTTTGACACGCCCTGTCTCGTCACATGACATGTGTGTGTCTGGGTAGGTGTGTGTTTGTGCGTGTTTGTGTGCTAGTATGATATCACCCTCTCACCAACCCCCA